TGTTAGGTTATTTCCTAGTTAGATAGATATTCAGAGATTTGTTGTCTAGAAATGTTAGTGGAGACAGATTGACTAGCTCAGGCTGTTAACTGTTCAGTAATGTGCTTGCAGTGCAGACTGCAAGTAGGCCAAGGTTGCAGGCAAAGAGCTGTTAGTGTCAACTGTAATGCTAGTCTTAATATTTGTCTTAATGTGTAAGGTTATGTCAAATTGTTTTAGATACACACCACGAAAACAACAGCCACACACCTTGACTTTTCCTCATGTTTTGGCTAACGTTATAGTCAGCTGCAGGCTGGCATATCAGGTGACGTCACGGTTTGACGCCCTGCGTAGTATGGGGCTAGCCCAGAAATGATTAAATTATATAGGTTTCTTGGTCCAGGAATCTTGATCTTTCCGAGCTGCCTGCGCGCAGGTGGATGGTAAGAGAGATCTGGACGTGTAATGTTAATTTTACGTGTGATCCTCTGAATAAACCAGCACGGTTATTTTTTATAAAATCTAAAGCGGTGTGCTTCGTCTTATTGTGAGTTCCTGGTTTGAAAGAGCCGGAAGAGGCTTCATAGAGAAATAGAAGCTTATAAGGTTTTTCATATAATGACGTGCTAAAAGAAAAGACGGGTTTAGCTGGCCTACTTGGCCTATTTTTCCCCCAGGTTTTACCAATAAATAAATGCCCACACTTACGTTGAAAATCTTAAAACGGAAGAGGCGTTGACGTAGTTTGTTGTTGTCAACAACGCTGATCAGTTTGCTACAAACCCCGTTGGGTAAATGTAAAGCTGAACAATTACGGTAAATGAACGTTTCAATATACTGTAGCTTTGCTGCTGTTGTATGAAAGCCAGGAATAAATTCTGAAGCGCAACCATCACGCGAAGCTATTATGGTCCGTGTACGTTTAGCGTTAGTCGTGTATCATGGGGCTAATTTGTTGTGGTAGCATCTATTTGTAACACTATCGATTTGTGATACTGCGATATGGTTGAGCCAAACGTTATATCAGTCTTTCCCTTTAGCAATTAATTTTAATACAGCACAGGAACCGTTCGAGAATATGTCACTGTATTTGTATGCATACATACTGTTAGGTGAACCTTACCAGTTGGCTAATATGCTTTAGCATTTTGTCAGCTAACGTAGCAAAGTTGTCTGTTTAGCTTTTCTAAGGAAACAACTAAAATAAGTTTTCTTTAGTTGACTTTTGGGTGAAAGCAAAGGAAATATGTTACATAACTATTCACTTGTTGATTATACAAGCGTAAATATAAATAGCCTAGTTAGATTATCTCCAATGCCTTTTCTATGGGGACAGCCATTTACCAAACTCCATTTAAATGTTTACCCGTTAAATTTATTATTGCTTTCTTGTACTTTTATGTATTCTTTCAAGAATCAATTATCAGAATTTTTTTAATCATAAGATTCCACTTTAAATGTCTGCATCCATGAAACCGTCATACATTTACTGTCAATAATTTACATTGTACTGTTAAATTCTACGCTTTTTTGTTAGAAATTAACCCAATTCTTTTGTTGGAAGCACGAGAAGTGACGACAGGAGAGGACTGTTTAAAATCAACAGAAAGTTTACTGAAAGTCTGATTACAAGCAAGTCTTACAGCGCTGGATTCAGAGAGCCAGAGCTCCCGCAGGAAAACCAACTTCTGAATCCCGAGTCATGTTTTACAATGCATTTTATCTTCTTGGGCTGCTCCGCCCTGAACAGAGGTACAACATTCAACAGCTTTTAATCCTATTTTCCATTTAGCTTTTGATCCTATTCTCCATTTAGTGTGAACCGGAGCTCCCCTTGTTTCAATGTGTTAGAGTCTATGTGTGTGTGTGTGTGTGTGTGTTTGTGTGTGTGTGTGTGTGTCTCAGGTGGTGAGCTCCCCTGGGTGTGTAGACACCTCCCGGTGAGGCAGAACTTGGGATATGCTATGTGGGTCTATGTGTGGGTGTGAAACAGGCCTTTGCTAAAATGTAAATAGGCTGTCTGGTCACAAAGATATGTAGACATCCTGTCTCTACCCAGATGTTACAGCATTCAAAGTAAGCAGATTCTACTTCATCACAGTTGTAAAATACATAAGCAAGGGAAATAAATGTATTCAAATAACCAAAGCTCAGTAGTTCTGCACAATAACCAATACAGCTGTAATATGTATAATCAGGTAAGATAAAGATATGAAAGGGAACTAAAGGCATGAGAAGTAACTAAAGCTGATAAAGTAACTAGAGTCTATAAGACTCAAATCTTACAGTACCATATAACATGCCAATAATGTGACTTCTGATGGAAGTTACGCTTTTCTGAAAACCCTCCACTGGAAAATAGTTTTAAAAGCTGAAACATTTACTACTTAAATGGTATTTTTGTTGTTTTTAAATTATTCAAAATAAATACAAATATGAGCTCAAATTTTTGGTTTTTGAAATTTAAAAATGAAAAAGAGTGAGACCATAAAATGGTGTCTTAGCCAGAAAACAGATTCTCTATGAATTTCGTATAAATTTCTATAAACCCCTTTGCTACCTACATAGCGAAGGGGTTATGGGTAAACATAGGTGGTCACAAATGGGCAAGGCGCACATCTCCGAAATCTCAACTACGTGTTGTGCGGAGCTGTGCGTCCTGCATGCCGATAGGTTGATCCGACTTGTTGTTGCCTGCTAGCGAGTACTCTGAACATTGGCGCAAATTTCTAAATTTGCATTACATGGCTAGAGTGACCATCTATTCTCAATTTTAAATGGTTACTTGCCTGAAAAAATATCAACACTTAATAAAGTGGCATATATAAGTCCTAGGATGAAAGTTATAACAGCTTTGAGCCTGGCTAAAAATTTCTGCCATTTCAGTGTCCTGACTTTTACCATGTTTTCTGTACTTTGTTGTTTGAGCGCCCCATATTCATAATGTTAATGTTCGCACAAATCCGAAAGCAACGGCTGCTTGACCATCTCCAACTGAAAGACACACATGTTCACACACTTGCGGGGATGCAAGTGCATAAATCAGGCTTAATGGGTTCTTAACCCTTAGGGCATAGGGTACCTGTCTATTTAACTAATTATGTGGGTTGTGATTTAGGAGTCTGAAACCAGGCTACATAAAACAACTATAGAACACAACACTAATAGTAGCTGTCTGCAGCTCTGCTCTGTCTCAGGTGTTTATGTCATGTAATATGATACCACAGAGTATATTTCACCGAAACTTGGTAAAGTTATCCATCAACATCTTAGGCCAAAGATGGAAGGAAAGCTGCTGCATGTAAAGGTATAGACTGAAGGTGGTATGTAATCTGCTGTGAAATGTTAGCCCACTGTACTTAGTTTGAACCCTTTTTAAATCTGGTGGCATCCTGTCTGTTGAAGCAGCAATATCCTGTAGGTGCTGTTGCTACTGGATCTGCCTGCATACTGTTCTTATGCACACACAGTGGCTTTGTGTGTGTGCAGGGCTGTATTGCGACATGATTCTTAAATATTGACACCTGCAGACAGGTGTTGAGGCAGGGCTGGACAAAGCACCAGACACGGCGCTGCTTTGCTACCGGAAATCCTTGAGATGGCAAACCAACTGTTTTGATCAGCTTGCTGATTGTTTCATTGTCTACAGTGATATGTATGTTAAATTGGAATTATGGGAATGGTTATATTGTAGCTGCTTGTGTTGGTATGTGGTGAGGAAATATGACCCTGAATCCAGTAAAAACATAAACTGAAGCAAATGAAGAAGAATAGATTCAGGTGCTTTTCTGTTGTTCAGGTGTTTCACTGTGGGCAAAGCCTCAGTTTGGCTTTTCAGTTATATAACAACAGGTTGTTAATCCTGCCCCGGTCAAGGATGGTTTTTGGTCTTTGGCATGCTGTGAGTGGTTTTTATCTGATATTCAGAGACAGTTGACTTCGCCTCAGTTTCTGCTGATCAACTGCTGATTAAAAAATCCTTTGGTTGTAGTTTCTCACAACACTCTAATAAAATGTTTCACGTGTGGTGCTGGTTCTTGTGTTTCAGTCACAAACATGGACTGTATGTATGTGTACAGGTGAGCTCACAGTCAGGTGGCGTCCTCAGCCTTCTGCTGTGACACACTGGCTGACCCACCATGTGAGCACAATGGTGCTGTGTTCAGGAACACACCAAGCAGGGACAGAGGAACCGTTTTCTGTTAACATCATCCAAAATCCTCCCCAGTCTCCTCCCTGGTGGCTTCTTGGTTGCTGACTGTGTGCTAACAGCTGTTTTTCACTGTCTGTGTATATGCAAAATGTGACCAACAGTAGGCTGATTGTGCCTATTGGTTAGTAGCGATATTTATTTAAAGCATTATTATGTCAGTCAGCATAACATCATATACTGTAGTGGAGAGAGAACAGAGACCCTGTGTGTTAGAGAGAAAGCAGTTGCCCCAAATAATATTTTCATTCATTCATTTTCCACCGCTTAGTCCCTGAACGGGGTCAAATAATATTTTTCTTTCAAAATTTTTATTTAAAATTTCAGAGCTTCCATTTCTGGAATAGGTTAACCCCAGTCTCCTCACAAGGGAGTCTGGCCCCGAAGGAACCAACTAGATTTTGGTGCTGATCTGGATCATCATCCGGATCTAGGAATTTTCTCAGAAGATTCTTCACTATTATGAGATAGGGCCAGTTTCAATATTTTTGCTTTTAACTCTATAATGCCTAGGATGCTTGGACAAAAAATTGCAAGATAATATCCCCATAATGGGGGCGGCTGTGGCTTAGGAGGTAGAGCGGGTCATTTCCTAACCAGAGGATTAGCGGTTCGATTGTCCAGTCAATGAGTCGAAGTATCCTTGAGCAAGACACTGAACCCCCAGTTGCTCCTGGTGATAACACCGGTGTGTGAATGTGTGAATGTTTGTGAGTGCGAGTGGGTGAATGGCCAAGTAGTGTAAAAGCGCTTTGAGTGTGCTGTGTGTAGAAAAGCGCTATACAAGCATAAGACCATTTACTGTAAGATCTACCACACACCAAAATCTGATCTGGATCCAAGTAATATTCTGGATTTACTGATCCAGAATGTTAACATTTATAGGGTTCATGGAAAACTCGCTACTGTGAGACACCAAACAATGCTACACACTTGCAACTATGATCAAATTCTATCTGAAAGTTTGTTGACTCTGCACGGTGTCAACAGATTTGATGCATCTTTAAAGTTACTGGGCTAGATCCTGAAAAAACTGCAATTAGTCAATATCATTTTTCTTGAATAACTTTCAAACTACTAATGATATCACAGTGATTCCAAACATTAGAGGTAGATTTTCATGGCCAGTGCATCTTAGATCGAGGGTCACACTATCATAAGAATAGTACTTTTAGGTGTAATGGCATTATGGGGACAGTGAGCTTCCTTGGCCAGGTTTACCCTCTCTGGGTGCTGTCTAGTGTTCTATAAGGTCATAAGCAAACTTAATCTACATTATTGGAGTCATTGTTTACTTTTGCTAATCTTAGTACAGCTGCTGGAAACACCTGCTCAGCTCATACAGATGTCCTGGGAATGCACAAGTACTATTGCACCAACTTCATAATGTACATGGTTTTGAGCAGTAATGTCCATCATCAGCAATCATCCAGCATTACCTTGAAGGTTGCTAATGGATGGTTAACAAGGACCTGTGTTATACAGCAGAGGCTTTTAGTCACAGAAGTAAATGAATTAGTAAATATAAAATCATCCTTGTTTAAAGGGCCCATGGCATGCGACAGTGGTGCAGTGGGTAGAGCAGTTGTCTCTCAACCGGAAGGTC